ATGGGAAGTTTGTGTGGGAGTTGATAAGTCTTAGTATTCAAATTGTGTGCAAATACCTTCTCAAAGCAGTTTGAAATTGTTATGAAAATTAACAATGAATTCATTTATGCATTATTGGAAAGCAAACTATTACTATCAATTTGTGCTATTAAAACATTTTTTTTTATAGAGTAACTGAAATTTGTGAGGGCTATTTTCAAAATTTTTGGTTCATGGTTGCAGTAAATTAAAACTGATAAAAATGATCTAAATGGCAACAAATTTTGAATATAACACTCTTGAGTAAATCTGTATTTTGAAAATTCTGAATTGTATGTTTTTGTTCATGTTGAACTGCATAAAATTTAATAGAAACGAAGCTGCAGTAATATTGCTTATAACAATGTGACTTAGTTTTTCAATATTATAAACACAGTCAAACTGGCTCTATACTGAAGTTTTATGAGTAAAAACACTAGTGAGAATGAACTGTAAAGTATATATATATATATATATATATATATATATATATATATATATATATATATATATATATACACACACACACATTTTCCCCATTCAAATCCAAGCCATTTATTTAACAAAGCAGTTTTGTTGTCAGATGAGTCACAACATGATTTCTTAATTAATGATTATGACAAAGTTGTGGATTTTACAAATATTAAGTTGAAAACTGATTCTAATGTCTTGGTTTTCTGTTTACATATTTAGTTTTGTTCTAAACTAATTTTAACTACCTTTAGGGAATTTGACTTGTTGGTTCCAATCTCTTCCTTGAAGAAAACCCTTAATACTGATTATAATTAGTAGCAACGGTAGAAATAGTAGTTGTAGTAATTATAATAGCAGTGGTGGTTGCAGTTATAGTAGTGATAGCAACTGTGGTTGCTGTGGTATCTTGTCAGTAGAGGTATCTTCCATGCTTGATTTATCTCTCTTCTCAAAGCTTGTAATCTCCCCCCCTCCACACACACTCACACACACCCACTAATTTCTTTATATGTTAGTGATCATTCATTGTGTCTTTACCATTTTTGTAAAGGGTACACTGAGTCCCAAGTAATAAAAGACAATTCTTGTATCTACTGTCAATATGGGAAGTTTGTTGCATCATTTATTGCAGGGTGACCCCCCCCCCTCCCCTCCAACTCCTGTTGCTAGCAGTCTGAATCCCCACTCCATCACTAATACAGGATGTTCTCAAATCTCAGCACACCAGTGACACTTCCTCTTTTATATCATTGGTGACAATTGACAGTCAAAGATAGTTCAGGTTGGGTTATGGGGAGTTTGATCCATGCATGGCAGTATATATAGAGGAAGAAAGGATGATAAAGATAGGAGGGGAAAAGGTGTGGGAGGAAATTAAGAGAAAGAAAATAACAATAGTTGTTGTAATAGTAATAGTAGTGGAAGCAGCATTTTTGTTTTGTTTTTTTTTTTTGATTTTGTATACTGAGTTGTACTATAAAAGAATCACTTTTTTTTTTTTATCTTCTATTTCCACCTCCACTAAAATGACTCATTCGTTTACTCTCTCATTCTTTCACCTTGCACATCATGTATTGGAGCAAAGATCAATTACTTTGAATAATACTAAATGTCTCCACTGAACCAAGTCCTCTTCATTACGATTAACATTGATTTCTTTTTTTTTTCTTTAACAGTTATTCTGAATAGAAGCAGTGATCGGAGGAGGATAGGTTCTGCAGCAGCAGGAGCATAGAATTGTTGGCAAGCTCTCATGAAATGTCTTTCTTGTTGACTCTTAGCAGCCCAACTATTGGCTAGTTGACTCCTCCTATCATACATGCTCTACTATTTCAACAGACTTGCTTGCTAATAGCAAAGAGTCTTGCCAACATCGAGTGGTCATACTTAACTAGTATTACCATAAGAAGTGACTTTGCTCTACATAAATACATTATTAGTTAAAGGCTTTATCTTAGCAGTTTTTATTTTACTATTGGCCTTCTAATGTCTATTAAATAGCTGCATTAATCATTTTTTTTGGATTTTCCATTATTGGCTTTGAAAAAAAATTGGTATCAAATAAGATTAGTTCTTAAAACCTATTCCCTGTAAGAAATCTGCACAGATTCTCTCTGCCAGAATGAAAATATCAATTGCTTTTCCCAATGTGTATGATAATAATTATAAAAAAAAAAAAATTTTAATTTTTTTTAATTATAGGATTGCTTGGCATAAGACATAATCAAAAATCTTTAACTATGAAGCATTTTGTATTCCAGATATATTTATTTTTGCTTGCATATTCTTTAAATGATGACTTTTAGAATTATTTCTGCTTGAGTGGAAATCAATAAAATCTATTAGAAATATTTATACCACTTCCTAAAGGTTTATACAAATGAACAAATGCTGAATGACTATATAATTGAGGTTGTCAAATAGATGAAACCAATTTTTCTTTTGAACCTGCTTTAATAATGTGGACAAATTGCTTAAATAAAATACAGGGATTTAGAATGGTTACTCTTTGACAATTTTTTTTTTAGATTCATTGACTTGTTAAATATAAAATAGCATTTATTTTTATTATGCAAATTTTTTATTATTTTTTTAATCATTTCACCCCAAGCAAAGCAATAAAACCACAAAAAACATAAGTGGTTACTGAGAGTGAAAGAAAATGAGAAAAAGAAAACATTAAGGAAGGAGAACCATAAAAGAACAGAAATTAAGAAGACAGAAGATAATGATTTACATTGCATTTTTGAAGATCAATTTTTACTAGAAAGGAAGAAGCCAAAAGATTTCCAAAAATGAGATTTTCTGCAAGAAAAGAAACTGTTAGCATAGAACTTATGGTTACATCTAGCCATTTCAACTGTAAATTGATGAGACCTTGCCGCCAGTCTAATACTATGCTTAAATTCATAATATAGGTATCATAGAGGAAAGCACAGGGAAGCTACATTATGTTACTGAGAAAGTGACTGAAACTGAGATGCCAGGTCAGGACCAATAACATTGCAGATTCTTTGGATTTTATCAAGAATCTCTAAATATATAGGTACAGCAGACCAGATGTGGCAGTAATATGCAAAGCAAGGATGAATGGTAGACTTATAAATATGTAAATAGATTTTGGCGAGAAAAATTGTCTATTATTACACAGCTAATCGGCTTTCCTAGCAGCAGACCTAGTAATTGATTCGATATAATCTTTCCACTTAATATCAGCAGAAAACATTGTCCTGAGAAGGTACAATGAGTCATTCTCTTGGAAGTTAGCATCAGCCATGCTGATGGGAGTCAAAAAAGGTTCTCTATGATGATTAAAAGAGAGTGGTTTTGTTTTTGGAGGTGTTAAAATTAAAAACCCATTCCTTATCCTAGTTAACAACAGATTGACCTTATCAAATCATTAAAACAGGAGTAAATAGTGTTGCCATCAATATAGATACAGAGTTGAGAACATGATTACATCAGCCATGTCGTTGATAGAAATTAAGACCAAAGTAGGTCCAAGATTAGAGCTCTAGGAGATGGCTGCATTAATGTAAAAAAATTTAGGAGAGCAGCCACTCAATACAACTTAGATTTTGCCATTTGATAAGAGAGATTGAATTAAAACAAAAATTTGACCATAATTACCAGAACCCTTCAACTTGTGAAAACCAGTATGACAAACTCTGTCAAACACCTTTAATAATTCAAAGCAAGACAGCCTTGAGCCATTTTTATCTAAAGCTTAATAGACTCTTTCAGCAATAACTGTTAATACATCATCTGTTGACTGAGACAATCAAGAACCATATTGTTTGTCTGAAAGCAGATCCTGCAAGGTGAGATGCTTAAACAATTTGTTGATTAAAGTATCTTTGCCAAAAAAGAGGTAGAAAACTAATAAGCCAATAGAAGGATCAGATGGTTCACTGGAGTTCTTAATAGAAAAAGGATTTCCAATAAACAGGAAAGCAAGAAGCAGCAAAACATTCATTGTAAAGTTTAGAGAGAACAGAAGCACATTTCTTAAGGGCGGCTGCAGAGATACCATCAAGTCTGCATGCTTAGGGATAATAGCAGAAACTAAGGATGGACTTACATACAAATCACACAGGCAAGGATATTCCAGATAAATCAAAAAGAGTAGAACTGGAAAAGAATTTATAAGCAAAGCATTCTGCATTATCAGCAGAAGATAACATCTCAAATTGAGTAGAGAGATAGAAAAACTTACTCTTGTTTAACACACTATTACAGTGACACCAGTAGTCATGAGAACCAAACTATATGGTGTCTCATTTTATCAGCAAAATATACTTGTCTTAATTGAGGACACATTAACAATTATTATAAATCAGTTGTGATCAGAAGTATCATGTTGGTACAGCTGGAAAAAGTGATTCCTGTGGATTATAGTGGCTGAACAGGCAGGTGTGAACCAAGGAGACAAATTGTGGCTTCTAATAATATTTTCAAGATGGCACAAAAGCATTGATGCTAGCTTTTACCCAAGAAATCTGTGGTACAGTTTTCAATAGGAAGTTTAAAAATTTAACTCCAAGGGCCATTGTGAAGAAAATCATGAAATTAATCTCAATTGGTATGCTAGTAACAGAAGTTTTGTGAATAGGCGGTTCATGTCTAATAAATTATTAGATCAAGTTGTTTTAACTTAAAGCTTCTTTTTTTTTTTTAATGCCACAATTTTATATTTGCAGACCCCCTCACACACACATGGATGGGCTGTTTTTGTTTAATAGTTGTTTTTTGTTTAATCAACTTCTATGGGTTATTTAATACTAAAATCTAAATATTTTGTATGCAATTTTATTTTTTTTGAAGATAATGATGGTTTCAGTGATACAAGTTTTATTAATTAACCCATAGCTTGGAGGAGAAATAGATTCATGCCTTTCTCTAGGTTATTTGTGTATAAATAAATATAATGAACCCAACTGGAATTAGAATTTAGCTCTCTGATTAACTATTTTGAACCATTATCCATTGCATCAACTGCACATCTAAGCTTTCAACATCTGGTATTCCCAAGTGGTCACCCATTTAGGTACTGATCAGGCTCAACATTGCTTAACTTCAATGATCTTACTGGAACTGGTGTTTCAATATAATGTGACCTTAAGCCCTATAGACATGGAGAGACAACCAACTTTATATATTTAATTTTCTGTATTTTGAGTATTTGCATGTGCACGCACACACACGCTCTCTTTCTCCCCTCTCTTTTTATATATATGGTGATTACTTATTTTAAATTTCCATATTTGAACAACATTTATTGAAAACAAAATTGTATGAATTTTACCTGCAAACTTATTTTTATATTTTATTACTCATTGTTTTTTTTTTTTTTTTTTTTGTAAGATATTTTGATCTTAAATTAGCCATGTTAACAAATGTAAATAGTTATTAAAGAGTGAAAATTATTGAACAGTCGTATGATTATCAACCTTTCAGCTACAGTTGAGATTTTTTCTTTTAACAAGACTATTCGCTTTTGGTCACTATACCTTAATAAATTATGTATATTCCTCCAGTACCAACTGTTTTTTGTATTGAGTCATTTGAACCACTTCATACAGGATTGCTCAGCTGTTGGAATTTTTTTTTTTTACCTCCTGATATCTTCAAATAATTTCCTTTCTTATGTATGTGCACACATGAATCTAAAAATGTTTCTTTCTTTCTTACATTTGATCTTCTCTTTTTTTTTTATTTCTATAAGCTGTTCTTTTGCTTCACCTTTAAGTCTTGTCAGTTCATTGTACCATCAAATAACATTTTTAAGCCTCATTAAGTGTTTATGCAGAATTAATTTCTATTTTCCTCATTTATTGACCTTTTTTCAGGGAAGAGTAATTGTTCCACCTGACAAGTGGATATTAATTTATGTGACACCCTTAGCTTCAGCCTCAATTGACACACACACACACACATATATATATATATATATATATATACACACACACACACAGCCTGTATAGTTTATTATCTGATTATTACCATTGTCACAAGACAATTTTCAGAAGGGCATAAAAAATCATTAATAATTTGTTATATATAGTGTAGACATATTTAATATGAATACTTGTTTATGCTTTACTTTTAGTGAAAATAAAATTTATTCCAATAGTTTTAAAAAGACAGGTTACATGAGTTTTAAAGATGCAAGTCAAAATCATTTTTACAAATAAATTTAATAGGAGTAGATAGATTTGTCTATTGCCCATTTCACACTCCTCCCTGGTCTTTTAAATGGGAGTAATGGTTTATCCCTTGTCCCCTGTTCATGATTGGGATCCAGTGCCTTCTAGACTTTTCATTTTCTTTCATTCTCAGTAGCCCCTTGTGTCTTAATGGCATTATCGCCATGCTCAGGAGTGAATGGATTAAAAAAAGAAGTTAAAATGTTTTATTGTAACAGTTAAATTTTGAGACAAGTCTTCACTTTGATTAATTTGTGTGATTGTGTAATTGCTGAGTTAAGATATAAAAATCAACAACTGGTGAAAGTGATGCTTTCAAATTGCAGGTTTTGAGTATGATCCTTGACTTGAAGAGGTTAAGATTGTAGCATTTGGGAAAGTGTCCATGTGGTAGTATGCTCCACAAACCAGCAGTTCTTGCAGTGGGGGTGGGGGGTTGTAGTGTAGAACTTTCTCTTTACAATTGTAATACAGAAGGGATGAGGGTTGTTCGGCTCCATGGATACAGCTTTGTGTTTCTTAGCTATAAAGGTCTGAATTGGTGGAACTAATGAATGGAACTTGTCTGAACGTTTGACATAAAAATTGTAATAGAAATGTGGATTCTAGATGTTTCTTCTTGCTTGTAATCAAATGACTTTTTTTTTTTTTTTTTTTTTTTTTTGCAAGTTCACATGTTTCTACTGCATTTTGAAAAGTTTCTCTAATTTATCACTTTTCAGAGTATTCTTTGTCCTTGAACTCAAAAATCTTTTTTTTTTAAACTTTGCAAACCATTTTGTCACATGTTTGCACCTACTGCATTACAACCATGAACTTTATTAATCTGTTGCCTTCACTGCACTCTTTTTTTTTCTCCTAGATTGAACATGAAGAGTAGCCATGTTTAATGTCCATTTTTTATATTGAACCATGATTTATCCCAAAATAAATATTAAAAAAATCAAGAGCATGTAGCAGCAATAAGGAGCTGAGTTAACTTCAAAGATTGCCCTAGCATTGTGCAAAAGAAAGCATTTGAAACTTTTCTGTCAACCTCATCTCTTCCATCACACACACGCACACATTTTTATTATATATTTATTATATATATATATATATATATATATATATATAACTTTCTTTGACAACCTCTACATTGTTTTTGTAACAAGTTAATCAACATCTTCCAATAAATTCATTTAGGTTTGTGCTATTGAATCTTGAGGTTTTCTTCGTATTCATCCACTATCTCAGCGTTTTCAATTTGAACTTCACATGTACTCATTCCTCATTTAAGAAAGTTTTAATATATATATATATATATATATATATATATATATATATATATATATATATATATATATATATATAATTTTACAGACTGTATTATCCTGCATAAAAATTGCTAATATTTAGCTTTCTTGGGAATGAGATCATGCTGTAGTCATAAACTAAGTGCATAATAAAATGTATAAACTGAACTTGTGACCCTACTCCATACACTGATCACCAGACACCTTAAAATTGCTATGCTACCTTTTGACCCCCCGCTTTACATCCTTCTTGTGATCAAATCCAGTTGAATTTGGATTTGTTACTCAAGTGTAGATAGGCCAATTGTTGTTCAGTTTTGATTATGTGTTCTTGGATATATTGTTGTTGCTCATTTTTAGCACTTGTGACTGGTTTGATTACTGGTTAAGTAACAACTTGGACAATCTGGTGTCAAGTAGTTTATCAGATTCTCACAAATCTTCTCCTTTCACTTGATTTGCTTGCTGCATTGTTGATAAGATCCTTCAGGAAAAGTCTGAAGATTCCATGAGCTTGACATTTTCTAATGGGCAGCTGTTATTTCAAATTTATTTGCCCAGATAATTTATTAGTTTCTTGATATGAAAATTCTCTGTGCAATTGTTGAGTAAACTATCTTTGCTGTAGTGGCACCAAATGTCTGTCATTGTTGAGACATTCTCACTGCTATCTCTCCATTTGTGGCCATAGTTTTCTGCAATCTATATTTTCACCCAATAATTCTTCCTAACAATTACAACTATCTGAAAAATTCAAGTGCTTTTCAATGTGTACAGTCCACAGATGTCTACAAATCTCCCACAAAATTTATCAGTAGTGACCTGGACACATATCATTGCCTACAGAAATTACTGTCTAATATATCATGATTTACCTACAGATGAGTTTGGGGTGAGAAATAATAACATAGCAATGATCATCTTAACATAGGTCAGAGCATATTAAGGGTGGGGAAAAATATAAACAGTTCATGAAATATACAATAGAGAAAACGGCAATACCCCAGGTAGCTAATCCAGAAAAGCTAGGTTCCTATTTTCTTTGGTGGTGAAAAACTGTATGTGCAACCACCAATGTAAATATACTAGGGAATAGGAAGATGAAACCTGAAATGTACTGGAAAGACATGTTTCTGAGAGACTTCAAAACCTATCATGGTTGGAAAAAATATATCATTGCCTCAGCTAGAGATTTCATTAATCAGCCAAGTGTAAAAATTGATACTGTGCTGAGCAGCCACTATACAATAAAATCAAACAGTATTAAGTCTTTATATGAACATCCCCACACAAGGGGATACAATTCCAGAGAGTTAGAACTCCATTTACAATGGTAAAATAGTCATTGGATATTGCTGACATCTACTTTAAAAAAAAAAAAAAATATTAAGGTTGCTACAAAATTGAGTTTGTGCACACCAACAGTTGATTCTAAATATATATTAACTCTGTATGCATCTCATTAAAATAGAACATCTATTTTTATTTCTTTTAATATATTTCATTTTTAATATCCTGATAATATGAAAATGAATAGTCTGCTGGCATTGTAAAACTGCAACTGTCCCCCCACAATTCATCCACCTTGTCTATGGCCAGTTTTGTTACAACTTTCTTTTTTACTAATACAGATGAAATAAGAATATATGCACAAAAAACATTTGGAATATTAGATAATTAAATAAAAAATGTTGCTTACAGTGTGATTACATATACCCTCTGGTTGTTACTTTTGATAGACCAACAATGCATCAATAAAAAAAAAATAGTTTCAAATCATACAGTACATGGTAGATACACATGCAAAAACAAAATATCTTCTACAATATTTGTTCTATAGAGTTTTCATTGGACAATCATAATGTATTGCCAAAAGCAATCACTGCTTGATAACAAATTGGCTTCTCAATTGTTGACATTTTAGTGCCCAAAGGATTGGTAAACAGAGCCAATAACAGTTGATTGTTTCTTTCTTCATGATGTTTCCTCCGGTCAGATATTGAACCTGTGTTAGCAATCTTGTCAGACATTGAAGACACTTGAGATATTAGTCAATAAGAACTATGACCTGGAGTTCAGATCTCAGCAAAGTTTTGTCTGTTGAAAGTACTTTCAATAATATCTGAAGTAAACTGGTTTCCTTCTGATTTTTGTGTGCAACCATTTGCTAAATTGTTGTTTGATGTAAATGTATATAGGTAATTTTATATGAAATTTTAAATGTAGGTATGCAAGAACTTTATTTTTTTCATAGAAATAAGCACTTGAGAATTTTGAAGGCTTGTGTCTGATATCAAATTTGGCAAATATTGAATTTAATTCTACAATTATCAAACTTTCATTTTCAGCAGTTCTTACAAAAAAGGATTTTGTTTGTTCATTATAATATTGGTAAACTTAAATAGCTTTCCTTTTTTTTCTACATTTTTAGCTATTTTGTTTGTTTAATTAATCAATGCACAAGATAAAATTAAAGAACAAAAGTGAATTATTTTTTATTGGAAGATATTAGCTTCCATTGATTATTTAACTCTAAAATTTGCTGTTTATGTAACACATGACAAATCAAATTTAAAAAATATAAAAACTTTGATTCACTTTAATG